AAGCGAGCGCTTTCCCAACTCAACTGGAGGAAGGTTACCTAAAGCTCTACAAGCTGCTTGGCGGACATCTGCATCAGTGTCCTCCAGCTTGTTCACCAAATCTACCGAATGCTTGACCAACTCATCCGGAGAAAGGCTGCCCAAAGCTCTACAAGCTGCACAGCGGACATCTGCATCATCGTCCTCTAGTTTCGTCACCAAATCCAAGGAATGCTTTGCTAACTCATCCACAGGAAGGCTGCCCAAAGCTCTACAAGCTGCACCGCGCACAACTGCATCATAGGTTTCCATGTTCTTGACCAATTCTGGGGCGTGCTTCACCAACTCAAGCGAGTGCTTCGCCAACTCAACTGGAGGAAGGTTACCTAAAGCTCCACAAGCTGCTTGGCGGACATCTGCATCAGCATCCTCCAGTTTCTTTAAGAAGTCCGAGGAGTGCTTTGCTAACTCCTCCACAGCAAGATTGCGCAAAGCAACACAAGCTGCACGGCGAACACCTGCATTGCCGTCTTCTTGCATTCTCTTCACAAACTTCGAAGAATGTTCCGCCAACTTATTGGGAGGAAGATTGCCCAAGGCTACACAAGCTGCAAGCCGGACACCCGCATCACGGTCATTCAGCTTCTGCACCAACTTCGAGCAGTGCTCTGGCAACTTTTCGGGAGGGAGTTTGCCCAAAGCTCGACAAACTGCACGGCAAAGCTTCTTCACCAACTCCGAAGAATTTTGCACCAACTCATCCTGACGAAGGTTGCACAAAACTCGAAAAGCTGCTTGGCGGACATCTGCATCCTCGTCCTCTAGCTTCGTCACCAAATACCAAAAGTGTTGCGCCAACCCCTCTGAATGAAGGAGGCCCTCAGCTTCAGAAACCGCTTGGTGGGTATCTGTATCATCGTCGCCTCGCTTCTGCAGCAAATCCCCCCAAGATGGTTTCGCCAACTCCTCTAAAGAACCAGCTGAGAGGCGGACATCTTCATGAGAGGCGTCCAACTTCTTCACCAAATCGGAGGGGTGGTTTGCCAACTCATTGGGAAGGTTCAACAAAGCTTCATTACCTGTCTGGAAGAGAGCATCACTCTGCTCCTGTTTGACAGGATGCGCCATCTTCGCGTACGTCAGCAGGGCTAGGGAAACATCTAGCTGCTGTTCATGGATCACGTTTTATTGCTTTTGTACTTGGAACTAAGCATCTGAGAATGTTGAGACCAGTTGTTTGAGGTAACTGTGCCTTGCATAAGCGGAGCGGACTTGGAGGTAAAATTTGCCTAATATAAAACAAGTCTCCGCGGCACACAGCCTCTGCTGGGTTCGAGGTGAAGCAGCCAACCCCCACTTGCCACAATGGGTCAATCAAAGAGAAAACATGCCAAGCAAACAAAAATGAGAAAATCTAGGAAACACATCGATCGCCTTTGCCTTTTCGTTCGATTCCCCACTTTGGGGTGTCTTGGTGCATCAAATCTTCACACAGAGGTGACAGAGGTTGCCATAAGCTGCCTCTCCTGCGCAGCAGTTTTCAATATTTCAATGAAGAACATCTGACATGAGCCTATTTGGAGTCCTGCTGTAGCTGTAGAGAACGCACCGTTGCCAGAAGGTTCTGCCATCGAGTGAAAAGCGTGGGGTTCTGCATTTCAAGAGACGTAAAGAGTCTTGAGTTTGTCGGAAAAGGTTGTGGCAACTTCCCACCACGATCAACCCGCGCCATTTTGAGCTTTGGCATGGAGTTCCTCGACGCATGTTCTCTCATCCTCTCTTGAAAGAGTCTGAGTCACTGGAAATGCTATTCCTGCATGTCTACCCTCCCTGCTATACAAGGTGTGGGTGGGTGAGAAAACAAAGAAGTCGCTGAGGCAATAAGGGGGGGGAATTGGCCTTGAGCCAAAATGGCAGAGCACATCGCACCATCCCCCCCGATTGCCACTCTTCTTTTCCTACAGAAAATTCCTTGCACTCATTTTCTTTCATGAAAAGGCAGGATCAATGCGCACCATTTTGAGCGTTGGCGTGGAGTTCCTCGATGCATGTTCTCTCATCCTCTCTTGAAAGAGTCTGAGTCACTGGAAATGCTACTCCTGCGTTTCTACCCTCCTTGCATCGCGCAGGAACAGCTATGCACCTCTTCCATCCCTTAGCTCACTTCCTGGCCTCCTTCTCAACTGCCGTGGCTTCCTGCACCGATGTTAACTCTTGTGTGTCCAACCTTCCTCTTCATGTTGCCCACGACCTCTCGAACCTAGCCTGTAGTCGTAGGTGGAGATAACCTTGTTATATAGCCGTTCCGTGTCCCCTGCGACATCCTCCAGGTTCCGTATCCATGAGGTCTCTCCCTCAACACCTTCCTTCGTACGCCTTCACAACCTTTACCGCCGCTTCCCCTTTCCACACTTCACCAGGGCCTCCTAGCTCTTCTGCTGAAGTGGGGGTTTCCAGCTTGACGGTTATTCCCACGCCTTTGACGCACACGCGTGGCACGCCTAAGCTCCTTAGCAGTCTCACTTTCAGGTAGTCTGCCTCCTTCCACTCCGTTGCCGTACCTTCCCTTTCCTGCCTCGAGTTTAACACCTCCTCGCTCTGGTGAGTACACAAGTCCGCTTCCGTCCTTTGATCTCCTCCAAACTGGCCAGATGCCTGGTTCTCTTTCGGGAGGTGGCTACCGCCGCAGTCCTACCACTCAGCACTAGCCCTCGGGCTATCTGCCTGGCGGTTTCCGCCAACCCTAAAGGCCTCTGCAAGGGTCCGCTTCAGTCGGCCGCGTTCTCACGGGTTCTCCTTCAAACCTTCAGCCGCCTTGTCGTTCCTTATCTCGCACGTCCCCTTTCTACGCGCGTTGACATATTTCCTCACCGTTGCTCTTGGTTCCTTTGCCGAACTCTTGCACTTCCGTCCTCGGTTTCTGCTTGCTTACCTGCTGGTAGTAGCCGACCATCCTGCCACGCTTCGCCCAGCTGATCCTTCTCTTGCTCTACCTCGTTCATACCCTTCCCCCTCACCATCCTTGCAGTACCCATTGAAGGTCAGCCGTTCCACACCCAATCTGCCCCACGATACACTCTCCTTTCCCAAACTTCCTGCACGTGCCCTTGGTAAGCACACGCTCCCTTCGGACTTCGCCGTCTGCTCCAACCAATACGGTTGCCTTCACATGGTGTCCGTCCCCGTAGCATTCCGCGTCACGACCCTCCTCGGTCGACACGCCCTCCGATGATGCGTATCTCCTTGGTCCAGGCGATTTCCTTCAACCTTTGTGTCTCTATGCAAAATGAGTTCCACCTACCAGTGGTGAGGCTCCGCCACCCGCTTGCTCCTTCATCGCGTCTCCCTCGTCACTGAGATCCCTCCTGAGTTCTCCTGATACGTCGGTCGCACTCCGCCCCATGACTATCACCGCCGAGAGCGCTCCAACCTCTCCTCCGCTTGCGCAGCGCTCCAAGCATTGGCCGGCTTCCTTTTTGGTTCACCTCCGACTGCGCCCATCCCTCAGAGGTCTCTCCGCTCGGCCCACCAAGGCGACCTTGATCTCCGTTTAGGCGCGTGGTCCACGTATACGTGCACCTGCTCCAGCGTTACTCTTCACCGTCTGCCCTTTTCCGTCCTCTCCTCACTCGCCCTCTACTTCTCTTCACCATTCCTTTCATCTCCTTCTCAGCCACTTCTTGTCTGCGTTGTCCTCCTTCTCGTCCTCACTCCGCTGGTCCTAGCTCCGTGGTATTTCTCAAACCCTCCTACTCTCCAATTCTCAGCCTGTTCCCCTTCTGCCAGGCCATCGATCCTCATTGCTCCTTGTTAAACCCTTTCATCTCCCTCATTTTCCATACTTTGTTCTCATTTTCTCTTTCCCACTGGTTCGCCCATCTTCACCTCCATGGACTCGTCCGCGACCAGTTAAACCACCATATTGAGGTCCCCGCGAAAACCCTGCCGGTCTCAACGCGCGTGAGCCGTACTACCACCGAAAACACCCGAGCAGAAACGAACGACGCAGCCTGCCAGTCCTATAACGGAGAGCGCAACAGCGACGAACGAAAACGGTTCGGTAAAGCGACAGCACGGCCCGGCCCTCTCTCAACTCCTGAGTTGCCAGGACCGGTTGGGTTTACGGGTCGGTTGCGCACCCCCCATCACCAGCCAAAAACGTGGGGTTGGGGAGGGGTTCACCCGCCAGGCGCACCGGTGTCCTCAACTGCATGTGGGCCCCAGCCGCGGTGTCCCCTCTTCACCTTACCCTTATCTACATACCTGAAGCCCGGCCTTTTCGTCCAACCTCCCGGTTGGATTTACGGCCAGACCCTTATGCTTCCTTTTTCCTTTATCCTTGTACGCGCAACCCCGCTCCCCCTCTTTAAGGGTCTAACTGATGGATTGCTGCGTTTTCACTGCGCAGCACCTCCATATAGCAGCTGAGCGCCATTGTGGGGGTTGCAGGACCAACCATTGGTTGCCTCGGTCAGGAACCTCCTCAACGAACAGCCCCCCACTCAGAATCGAACCTGTCTCTGCCTTCGAGACCCACTCAAGGGCCCCGGCTACCACAGTTCGTCTGCGCTTGTGCCCTCCACACGACTTCCTTCCAGATTCATTCTGGCCAGGCGCAGCCCTCGCTTGCGCTTGAGGAACAGGTTTGTGTGGGCAGTCTGGCCCCTTGCCTCCTCATGCCATTCCTGTAAAAGTTGTCCTGCGCCACGACGAAGGTCGTCTGCGCCAAACGCAAGGCTGCCTGCCAGTGGCGTAGTGTAATGAGCACGCTTTGGTGCTCATCTGGACATCAACGCACGCCCTCAGCCATTCCCTACACCAGCCTCGCAGTACGACTGACTCCGTTTGGTATCGCCCTCTTCGAGGTCCTCCAATTTTGTCCATCGGACCCAGACGCACCCCATGAGCAGGAAGCTCTCTTTGCCGTTAGTTCGCGCCCAATCTCGAAATTG